GCTAGGAGAGGTGAAGATAAGAGTGGCAATGCTTTTTTTTTTGCTTTTTGTTTTTGTCTTTTTGTCAAGAGTGGCCATGCTACTCTTTCTCTCCGTGTAGTCCCAATTTTTTTAACGGATGTCTCGCGACCGTTGCCCACTTCTGTCATTCCCACAGCCCCCGTTCCACACAACAGTCCCACCACAGGCCCAGGGCCAATGTACTACTACTAGCAACATTAAGGGGATTTTTGGACTAAGCGCCTGAAGCTAGACGTGTGTGTTTGTTTGTTTGTTTGTGTTTGATTGTTTGTTTGTTTGTTTGTTTGGCTTTTTGGAGGTGTTTGTTGAGAGTGCAGTAGACCGGAATTGAACTCCTTTTTCTGCATCTCTGCATACAATACGTCCCGATTCAGGTGCCCAATACAGTCTTCCTTGCTAGTGGATAACTGGGCCCACCTGCGTCCTTTCCTTTCGCACCAATCCTCCATGTTTTCGCCATTCTTTTCCTTTCTTTTTTTTCCCCATCTTCTTTCGAAAAGGCAGATGGTGGCCTTGAGTTACCATTTGCTTTTTTTCTATTTTTTTGTTAACTTACTAAAACAAAACCAACCATCCCAATATATGCTGTCCTTTTTTTTTTTTTTTTTTTTTTTTTTTTTGCAAGAGCATCATTCATTTCATTTCAAAATACCGAAGAGGCCGGGGACCTCACAATTCAACCCGGAGATACTGGGGCCAATACCCAGCATAGGCTCGTGCTGGAAAGCCGGTCCAGTGTCCATTCAACTATCCCTTCCACCGCGAGGTTCGCACAAACCCTACTTACGATCTTCTCATCAAGCACTAGGTCTGCTATTCTAGTATCCACTCCACACATTGTAAAGCATTTCAAACTAGCTATTCTGCAGGGTGGAGTCTATCGCACGCTGGTGAATGCCCAATCACTCCAGGCTAGTCATTAAGAAAACCTTGTTCTCCGCAGGAATGGGCTGAAAGCAGTCTGGATACTTGTCGAGAAGTTTCACACTAGACGTACAAAATCAAGCAGCGTGCTGCTCCTATCCCGTGAGCAAAATACCAAGAGGCCTGTATCTGACAGGTTCGGAGGTCACTTGTTCTCCATTCAGCAACAGGTCTCTCTCTCTCTCTCTCTCTCTCTCTCTCTCTCTC